AGCACACTTTTAATTGGGAAGGCTTTTTAAAAGGCCTGGGTTGATTGCATTGGTGGAGGGTTATGTATTCCCATTTGTGGAAGAGAGGAGCCTAGTGGTCTTGATACTGATAGGGTTGAACTGGTTAATACTGTAGGGTTAAGTGTGTTTTGTGGGCTGATAGAGATTCTGACTAAAACACACCATGTTTGTCACATGGGATCATCACTTGTCTTCATCTATTAGAAATCAATGCTACATGCCTACACATGATAAGAAGAGATGCCTGAGGAAGTACTGCCCCCTCTGGCCACACTGACTACAGACATACTGTATTGCTCTGTGAGCATGCTGTCTGCCACTGTGGAAAAACATCCCCTTAAACAGCCCTCAGAGTCCAGAGAAAAGGTGACTGCAGTCGCTTAACTCTGTTCCCTAGACTATTGATTCACCGAGCCATTTCACAACTGTCTGTCAAGCAGTGGAGGTTGTTTTCCCCTTAAAAGGTGAAATCCAGCCACCCTCCCCCATTTAATTTAAAAGAGACGTGAAGTCCTATAATAGAGCCGAGAAGGGTCCTGACACTGTCATTATAGTCATTATCATGTTATTATCATTAAAGCTTAAATACAGCCATCTGCTGCAGCCATACGCACATCAACAGCTATATTATACTGTACATCTGCACACACCTTCATAGAAATACAGTATCTGACCAGGTCAGTGAGTTTTTAGTCTTTTAAAAGGATAGATTTATTCTGTTTACTTGAAACAATGACTGATTTTTCATTGTTTTCATATCTAACAAAGTCAACTTACTCTCATACAGTGTGTTGTGTATCTAACATTTTGCATCTAAAAAGCACCTGACAAGAATTGAGTCATGAAAATAGCTGTTGTCCACCAGTGTGCACACTCATTTCAGTCACACAGATGCTGACAACAGTCATGTTATTTGATAATACAATGTGTTTCTTCATCGGAGTCAACTTGGACAAAAACCTAAAAGATTAGATGAATTTTAAAAACTGTCTGTCAGTTCTTTAAATTTAATATACTTAGCTATAGTATTTGCCTGTCTTAAGCAACAGTGTAGAGAAAATTAAAAAAAAAACATGAAAATGTGACAAATGTAAAAAAGCATCTGCATCATTCAGGAGTATCCTGCTTCAGGTTCATCTGAGAAGCACTTGATGTTTGACACACATGAGGATATGGCGAGGAGCAGTGCGTGTAGTAAACACTGTTTGGTGCTGATTATTGTGAGGATTAGCTAAGTCTGAACGAGTAACATGACGTTCAGTGATGAATGGAAATGGTTTGCACACCAGTGATTTGATGTTACTGTGATAGACACAGAGCCACTGGCAAATTCTGTGAAAATGTACAGTGTACAGTATTTTGTCTCTGTTCTTTAATACTCAGTGATTATATGGACTATTTTCACATCAAATCATTTGCCTCTACTAATATACCTGCTATCAAACTAGTCAATGGTGATTTCATGAAACAATACTGAGCCTGAACACCTGCCGAAAAGCCTTCAAGCTTTTAAGCTTTTGTTTCAACCTAACATTACTAAGCAACGCTATGACCTGCCAGACTACTGCTTAACAAAATCCAAAAACACAGTGTAAATTATGCTGATTTAAATTGGCCAAAAAATGTTTTACAATGACACAGATATTGAACAAATAAAATCTACATTACTGAAAAGTGTCTTTCAACAATGAAAACAATTGTTGCACAGGTTCAAAGCTGTGTAGCTTTTTTCTGAACACCGGCCACTATGGGCAAAGGTGATAAGGATAAACCATAAACGTCAGGTGACCTCCTCTTGACTCTCTGCATGGGATATAGTAAAAATTCTCTACTGATGTTCTACATTTTCCAAATACTATTGGACCCAATGGGTTAAATTGTAATAATAGAGAATGTGAAGTTGTCATCACAGCATGTTGAATTTTGGGTAAATGCGCCAGTGGTTGGGGGGATGACGCTCATTATCCGTCATAGAGATATACACTACATACAGCTATATGTCAATTTAAAAAAATTAATGCTATCCCATACAGCTACATACAGTCGCGGATGCTTCAGCTATGTCCAGCGTCTTCATTAGTGTTCAGTTTGAGCACAGACAAGACAGAAGTTGATTTATCTGCAGTGTTTCTGATATCTGCCAACAGCTGCTAGCTAATGTTAGCTCCCAAACCGAGAACTGAGATCAGTGTCATTTTTCAGTCTGTCGCTCTCATCAGTGGGATCTCTAGGTCTGCTACAAGATAGCTACAGTCAGCTGAGGATATCCATCCTGAATGACAAGTGAGATCTGGAAGATTTAAGTAACTTTTTAGCTAAACAAAACAAGAATATATGCAGGTAAATACAGCACACATCTTCCAAAATGGCGCCCCTGTCCCAACATTCAATATGATGTGACGTAGCTTCACATTCTTTATAAAAAGAGTAATTTTGTAGGATTAGAAAAATGTACAAATACATTTTACAGCTGCCCCTTTTTCAGTTATTGTCTATTAGAAAAAAAAAATCTTTTTTGTGTGGACAGTGTTTCTGTTGTGTTAAGTCCGGAAGTTGTGGTAACGCAGTTTGACCCCTGTGCTGTCAAAGCTTACTGGAACAATTGAATACCACAGAGCCATTGTTAGTGATATTACTAACACCTGTACGTCTCCTCTATGATTAGTGGAAAATATCCACGATAACGCTAAAACATAGTGTAACAGCAGCACAAGTAGAGAAAAGTCACCAAGTTAGTTACTTGTGTGTCAGTTACGTACAGTATCAACGTTTAGCTAATGTTTACTAAGATTACCAACCATTAGCTTCATTGTGTTAGCATTAATCTACACCGTCAGGCTTACAAAGAAACAGTTGTACAGAGGTTATGAAGCTTTACATCCTTTCTGTTCTTATCTTCACATACGGTTTGTCATGACCATGACACACTGTATAGGAACTAATTTGAACTTTCAAATTACCCTGTAGGTCTGAGACTGGCAGACACATCTCCTATTATCAGATCTTTGCTGCAATAAACTCAGCTTGTTAAGACAGAATTAGTCAATTTTTGGAACTGCAGCATCAACAGAACTCTTTTCAGCACAAGTCTCTGGCACAGCCCCAGGCCTTATTGTGGTGCTGAGATATGGTGGCCCTAACTACACTCACACATTAAAGTGACATTTTTCACAATAGTCACAAGTAAGCTTGCTAATTAGAGCTGAGATCCAACAGAAATGTCTTGTGAAGTGGCAGTATATCACATGCTGCTTGGTCTTTTGTTGTTTTTGGCTTCAGAAGACTATAAAGCTCCATAGCTGAGGCGTGAAGTCTAGTCAGTTGTCCATCCTAGCAATCAGAGCTGTAGGAAAATGGTAATGTTTTGTATTGGGATTGATTTGAAACCCCCCCCTATAGTAGGTGCTTGTTAGAAAACAAAGTCTAATTCAGAGGATTTTGAAATTCATAAATCTGAATTGAAATTCATAAATATCACATGCTGAGTAATTAAGAAGTCAGTGGTACTGGTTAATAACCCCATCAAACCCTGGAGTTAGTGTATATCATGATGAGCCTCTGCTATGAGACATTAAGACCATTTCATTTAGATAGATAAATAGATCATCTGCCTGCCTGTCTATTTATCTATCTATGTGGAATTTCATTTTAAAATAAAAGTCATTAGTTGGTGTATATGCCTTAAATTTGTGCATGCATTCTCACTGTATACTGTGTGTCCCTGACTGGGCTGTGAGTAGGTCTCTGGCAGCACCTAGTGGCTGCAGGTGAACACACACATTCATATAGTTAGTGTACACCTTCTGGATAGACGCACTCACACATCGGTGTTGTATCCAGCTTGACTCTGTCTTTGCCTATGCTAATGTGAGTTTTCAGTGCTCCCTATTGCTCACAGTGGAACTGCACTTCGCTCTCACACACACACATATGCAGAAAAAGACCCATGTACTGGAAATGCAAGTCTCGTCTTTCTCACTCCCACAGATGTGTGATTCATTATATGGATAACACAGGTACCACAGATGCAGCATTGCCTAAACAGTGCTGCACACACACCATTGGTACACATGAATATTTATGAAATAAACAGTAGCGGGCACGTTTGTGTTGTTTACTGTATTTCAATGGTCTATACACCTTCCATAGGCATATTTGTCTTCTCCGAATATCTCTTGCATTATGTATTTGTTGTGGGTATGTATGGCTGCTTCTCCCAGAGTTATTTCAAGTTTGTTGTGTGTAAGTTCTATTTTAATAATCTGCCAGATGACCAAATGTGAAACATACAGTATTGCCCTTCTCACTGTGAGCGACAGCACTGTCGATTGAGAGTTGGTACACACATACACCCCCACATGTTTTATGTTGTTTGACAGTGACTTGGGACAGATCGTCCCTTGTTTATGTGCCAGAGCAAGATCTCTCCCTGCTCTTATTCTAATTAATTACATAGCAGAATTGATTGTTTGGAGTGTGGGCCTGCAGAAATGTGTTTGGAATGACTCATTATCTGTCTGGACAAAAGAGATGAAATATTAGGCGTTAAGTGGTGCTGGTAATAGAATTCCCCATGAAAGGTCTATTGATCAGCGTGACCGGGCCTCAAGAGAATTCACATATCATGCAGTCTTAATTACACTCCAGCCAGGAGAGCTAAGGTCAACTTGTAATTGTCTAAGCATGCACACAGAGATGCAGACCCACACACACAGACACAATTTTAATATCACAATCTTGGTCAAAGTGAATGCAGAGAGACGCTGTAAACGCTGTATATTTGATTGCTTTCATTTTCTCTTTTCCTTTCATAGAAAAGTAAGAAAATCATTAAGTATTCACATTTGAAAAGCTCAATCCAGGGAATTTTTTTTTTTCAATTTTTTGCTTAGGGGGAAAAAAAACTTCATTGATTATCAAATCATTGCTGATCACTTTTCTGTTGATCAGCTTAGTCACTAATCACCTAATCATTTCTCTTCCACATGTAGGGCATAACAGTGATCAGCATCAAAATGAGGAGCTAATTAGACAAGGCAGCTTATTTATATAGCACGTGTTTGTACACAAAGGCTCTTCTAGCTGCTTCAAAGTGGAATTCAGATCGTTCAGCTAGATTGGTTAGTGGATTTATTAAAAAAAAAAATTAAGTTGTTGTACGTGGCATAAAGAAATCAGGTGACACCATGCAGGTTGAGTTTGGAATGTCATAACTCAGTAGCTATTTGAAATGATGGGATGTAAGTTAAAAACAAGATGAATGTCTGGACATCACAGAGTAAAAAACTGTTGGATGCCAAGTCAGATGGATTCGGTAAATGGAATTTGCTGTTTTGGCCATATTCAAGTGTGAAATCAGCAAAGGCCACATAAACACATGGTTCTTGTGGTTTTAGCAGTGAGGGGCAGATTCTACTTCATTTGACTTTTTGTTCGGCCGCCCTCTCTCTCCCTCCCTGTGTCCTTGTGTCCACTGCAGAGCCCCCTGATCTGTGTTGTGACAGGCTTGTTTGGTTTGTGTTAGGCTGCACAGTGTGCGATGCGGGGAGACAGCCAGTTCATTGTGCGGTGCCTCGGGGCGGTGCGGAATGTCCCCGGGTGTCTCTCTCTCGCTCTCTCTCTCTCTGCTTGGTTGCGGGTCTACCAGGGCATGGGCGACTGCATGTCACCTAGCACCTGCTACCCCTGACCTCATTGCAGCCAGGGGAGTACACACGCAAATTGCCCTTTTGCCTCACTGACGTTGTTCACAGTCAAAGCTGCTTTCGGATCAGCAGTTGAATTTGCCACCGCTCACCCTTAGCTCCGTCCATCTGTCAGCGACGTGGCTTGATCCCCTCCAAAGGAGCTCTTTGTCTTTCACACGGTGTGGGTTTTAACATCAGTGCAGATGGTTGATCAGGTTCAGCCTTGTTGTTATGTTTATGCTGTTGTAACAGTGATATCTTGTATCTGCTAGGGACCAACGTCCATGAGGCCAAGAGGATTCTGACTGAGAGCGGCCTGCCCATCACAGCAGCGGACGACCTGGATGATGCCGCCAAGAAAGCAGTGGCTGCCATCAGGAAATAGGACACTGTGTAACATCACTACACTGTCTGTCCATCACTAACGTTCACTGCAACCTCACATCATCAGAGTCAGCCTTTTCTTACACATACATGCCTCCAGGTGTCACAGGCCTTTACTTTTTTGTTGTTGTTTTAATACTAGTTTCCAAATCATACTTTCATATCCAACTAAGCATCTATAACACAGGTGTTCAGATGGTGTCTTCCCTTAGAGAATTCATCTTTTACACTAATCTCCTCTGTGTAGTGCAAATTACCTGCTTTTGAACTTTCATAATTAATTTCTTCACTTAAAGCAGATTTATCGGGATAAATCACTTTATAACTTTCATATATTATTTTTATTTTTACATGATGAAAGTCCATCTAATCTTGTTACAGTACTTCATAAAACCCACTGTGACCTCTTTCAGCGATTAGATGGAGATGTAAACACTTGGTGCGTTCAATTTTCCAGGGCTAAAGAAGTGGCTGTCTCTCCACATAATGTGCCATTTTTATGGAATATTAATTAACAGACATTTTCCTTTTTCACCTCCAGCCTTGCCACACAGTACAGTATGACTAAAGACAGCCCCTTCATGAGTCGTGAAATCAATCGATGGCACTTAGCTAAAACGAACGTCTTCGGGGAACTTTGGATCAATCAGTATGTTTTTAGTGACTTTACGGTGTAAGTTGGTTCTCATCTATTCAAAGTCATATCTGTGTTGCACATGAGGTAGAAGTACTCACAGAGTGAATCCTCTACATCATGTATTATTTGAAAAGTGCTACTTCACCCTGTGATATACAGTGTAACTGCTGAAATCTGTGCCTACTTTATGAAGACCAAAGGGTTTTGTAAACCACCTCACCAACTCTTTCAGTCCTAGCAATAGTTTTCTGCAGAGGTGGAAATGGTTTTGTAATTCTCTCTCTTTTTTTATGATTATGAATATATATTGGCAATAGATCTTGAATGCAGTGTAAAAACTGTACATTATGTAATTTAAGATTAAAAACAAACATTTTAAGAATATGTCGTGTTTTGTTGTGCACTTCACATTAGAACAAAAGCCGACAGAAGGTAAAGAGAGAGTCAGTTTGAAGATTAAATGCAATGTCTGTGGCAGAAAGTACAGCTATGTGCTTTTGAGCTTTAAATCATCTTTGCTAACATCTACTAACGATGCACAGGGCAGAAATGTCCACAATAGTTTTGTTTTCATATTGACTTCATATTAACTCCACGGGATATAATTTTAATTTGGGGTTCAATTGATATATTTACTTTTGAATTGAAACCTACATAAATGAAATAATGGTATATTACTGTATGTTTCAAAACTATCATTTATTTTTGAATCAATAGCGTGATAGTCTCCGCCGCCAACAGTTGCAGCTCAAGGCAGGAATAACAATGCCTTTACAAAGAAGATCAGCATATTTTACACATTTCGGTTGTTGCCCACTGGTGTAGGTAGTTGTATTTAACTTTATGACACATATAATAAAAACATGAAACATTTAATAAATGTGACTTAAAAAGACAAACCAGTACTGATCCTATTGCTGTCAAACACAGTAATGACCGACCAGGCAGACAGGGAGCGGCTGTCATTATCCACAAACAGCTCGCGTTTAGCGCTGGGCCAAAATAAATGACTGAATATTTTCTATTGGTGTTTCTGCAAGTTCAATAAGAATTGAGTTTACCTGCTTTTGTCTTTGTACTTGCTGCCCCCAACACCTCCCTTAGGTGCTGAACTGCTGCCCCTACACTAAAGGAACTGCTTGGGAACTTCAGGGCTTATAAGAGTCACAGTGGACTCACTGCTCTGTAGCTCAAAGCATATTATACAGTTTTTTCTATTTCCTTTACTTCCTGCCTTGCTCCTTATCTTCAGATTGGTGCATGCACACACACACACCACACACATACTCCTGAAATCACCCACCTTCAGTCTTATAATGAAACTCAAGTGTACTTTGTCCCAAGAGAGACTTGAGAGGAGTGATTGTCCTTCATAGGGCCTGTGTGAATGGTACAGAGCTGACTGAGATCTCTTGCTGTCAGACACACTGACTGTGTGATGGATTATCTGTCAGGCAATCTGAGAGGACGCCCAGACACACAGCATCGACTGCCACCTCCATGAAAGACATACACACAAAGCACTTTTTTTGCTCCAGTTTGCACCAGAAAGCAACACTCAGAGAAAACCAAGTCTCTGTCTCAAACTGGGGCTTGTCTGAGACACCAGTTGCGTGTTTTCCGACCACACAAAGTCAAGGGGACTCCAGACAGGACCTCTGGTAGTTGCTGCAGTCGCGTGTAGTTGGAAGTGATACCCTGCCAACCTTGACACAAAGTAGAGAAAGAGAATTAAGTGAAACGGTTGACTAACTGCTATAATTTATTTGTAATGTATTAATTTTCAGCACCCCTATCACCTAAAGTCATCTCAAGACACAAACTCTGAGGTCTGCGAGTCGGCGCTGCGCCATGCCAGCCAGCCAAGCTGTAGTAACGGGCTGAAGGGTTCAATAATTGCCTTATTTCATGCTCTTCCTTCCGTGTGTCAGAAATATCCCCACTGATGGATTGGACGGAGGAATTTAAGGCTTGTTAAAGCGGGCTCCTCGGGCCCTGATATTGCTTAATTCAGTGTCAAGCTGGAGGTGACAATGATATGTGCACACTGATTTACTGAGCAAAATTAGTGCCGCTCCTTCATATAAATATAGATGAGGGGAGAAAGAAGCTTTGGAGGTCAGTCTGAAGACTTCTATCATGTAGCCTGCTGCCTTTAACTCAACTAATACCTCTGGAGGTGAGAGGAGAAGGGTTTTAAATGACCCTTTGGGTGGGTTGCCCCTGTAATTAAGCTGAATTATTATGCCAGGGGAGTTTTTGTTCCCACCCTTAGTGGTTTACTTTATTTGCCTCTGAGAAAGCCCAGTGGAGAATTACAAAGCGCAGCGTGTTTTGTCATGTGTTTCTGAATTGATGTCAAAACAGTAATTGCCACTTTATGAAACTGCCTTCAGTGTTTAAGTGTGTTGGGAGAGCCGGTGCTCATGAACAGCATTCTTTCAGACAACAGGGGTCAAGGCCGTCTCTCAGGAAGTATTGGATATTTATTGAGTAATTTGGAAGCAACAACTATGAACATATTAGTTCATAAAAAAGCAATAGCCCTATGAATTGCCTTCGGCTATTGTACTTCATCTTTCAGGGACAAGGGGTTGCTCAATATTTACAATTTTCTGCCTGTGCATCTGTTGACCAGGCAGTGGACAGATAAGGGCCATGAGCCCGTGTGTTTGTGTGTGTGATCAATTCTGTGTGTGTGTGTGTGTGTGTGTGTGTGTGTCCATCCTTATATGTAGTGCAAAAGTGTTCATGCAGAAGTTGTTCCATAAAGACAGCAAGCAGACGGTATTATCCCCCACTGGATCATCTGAACATAGAAACACTGTTTGTTTGTGTTTCCTCTTTCTGAGAAATATAAAAGGAGAGCACAGCTCCTCAGAGCTGTTATTGCCTCACCACCATCCTGAAATCATAAAAAAAAAAAATAGTTTTCAGCAGGTTTTATGGAAGAAAAGCAACACAGCAGGAAGACATGTCCAGAGTGAAGGAGGAGTTTGCTTTGTTAACGTGCTGCCATTGAGATCTCCAAAGTCTTGTACCCTACATATTAAAAAAAAAAAAAAAAAAAATCCATTTCCCTCTCTCCGAAGTGTTGTCAGTGTCTCTGTAACTGAAGGACTTGGAATCGATTTAAATTACCTTGGCTGTCTCCAGAAATTGAACAAAGATTTAAAAAGTTACAATAACCACCACACCTCCTCCGCCCTCCATGACAATCTCCCGTTTTCAGCCTGTCTCCGGCCCCCTCTCTCAGTCAATAAAATGTAAGGGTCTAGTTTAGTTTGATGTGCAAACACACAAGTTTAGTCTAAAAGAATTTTTAGGCTGTTTCCAATAAAGTTGCTCTGTTGGACTGGTAGCTTTCCCATCATGCTTTCCTTTCCTTCCTTCAGTCAAACCTTAGTTTCCCCTTTTTTGTTCTCTCTCGATCCGTCTCTTCCCTTTCTTTCATTTGTTACCTTATTTTTTGACTTGCATTTCCATTTTTTCCCTTTGAATTCTTGGCTGTTCTCCATTCATCGTGCCATTATGCTTCCTTTTTTTTTTTTAATCTCTTCCTCTGTTTTAATTTACATATGCGTCACACTTCACTGCACTATACTCCAGTTTTTACACTTGTGCTGTCATGCAATCTTCCTTGCTTGCTTGCTTCCTTCCACCCTTCTCTTTTCCTCTCTTACATTTTGTCACCTCCTTCTTTACCTTCTTCTTTTTATTCATGCATAATATATCCTCATTTCCTGCCATCCTGTCTTGCTTCCTACCTGCCTCCGTCTTTAGTAACTTATTCTGTTATTCTTTGAATAAGTTCACAGGGGTGATGGAGAGAAAGGCAGGAAAGTAGGGATAAATGCCTTTAACACTGGCTTTTTAAATCTACCTTAGTTTCTATTTGCACAATAAGCTTTTCTCTGCTGTTGTTTTGGCAGGCTGCCTGTGAGTCTGTCTTTTACAAAGTAGCATCAGGAGAGCGGCCTTCAGGAAGTAAAAAAATCCTCTCCTGGAGTGACAGTAGTTAAAAACCCATTTGCTGTGACGTTGGAAAGCCAACACCTCCTAATTAAAACAGCAGCAGCGGCAACAGAATGCTGTTTCAAATTGCTTGATAATTAGGCTCTTGAGTTATCCTGGAGGAGCTCTGGGCAGGTGTTCAGCTGACATGCTCAGACACTCCACTGTCCCGCAGTGGCGCGTTTTCAGGCCGTCTGCTGAGTAAAAATAAAGGTGAGACACAATCCTGAGGGGCCATCAGTATGCGACACAATGATGGCAGCACGGTACAGAAGTTCATGAAGACACTTTATTTTGTATGACTTGTTTTCCTCTCTCTTTTTCACACTCTTGATTGTAGATGGCTGAAGGTGTGTTTGGTGAGGTGTTAGGTGTGCTGAACTGGTTTTGATCTCAGCTTATCAAAATAACATCCACTCACTACCGATGACTTGATCCATCATCATGACTCATGCTACTCGCAGCATATGAGTGTTTGTGTGTGTTTGTTTTGAGTGCTCAACACGGCCCAGGCCTCAGGTTGAAGGTGACTTTGACATTTAATAGCGATAAGGGTAGCCTTTCGCTGCTTTCATTTCTCCCTCTGCCGTCTCATACTCGGACTGAATATATGAAACCTGTGTGTCGGGTGCTATTGCCGTCAAATGCCTGGGCCTGCGGACTGCGCTGAGAGGAGGGTTTGTGTCAAGCGCTGGGGAAAAGTGGCCTGTCACCTGTGATTTTGGCAACAATATAAAGCAGAGCCGTAATGGCAAGATGAAGGCTGCTGCTGTGCTCAAGCA